GAGGGTGACTCCTAAGAATAGGAAGTTTTGTTAAACATTCTGTGTATATTTTATTAGTGAGAAGGGGAAAATACATGTATTTTTTTTAAACTATCGTCTTTGAAGCTACACTTTTGTTTTCTCTGAAAGGTATGTGGGACCTTCCTCTCCTCTTCTGTATAACTGAGAAACACAGGAGGGAATGTGCACACGGTGATACAGACCCTGAAAATCTAGCTGTAAAAAGCAGATACTGGGATCGCTATAAATTAAATGGAAAAAAAACCTATATTTTTATCCTGTGTAGTGCAGATGGCCAACGTGGCACCATGGGTGTGATGCTTAATTTGAGATCAGCTGAGGGGGGCTGTGGTGCAGCAGCTCCTGAGGCGTCCTTCACGTTCACGTAGAAGCAGTACAGCAAATGGGTTGGTACTTCCTAAAAGTAGCCCTGGCCAAATACTCCCATTCACCAAGAAGGGAAGACTGTTCGCTAAGTTCTGTTAGTTGGTGAACTGGTTGGCATTTTTCTTGACTTGTTCTAATGTAATCCCATTCCTGCCCGTCCCCTGCCTGTTTACAGTTTCACATCTCTTAGCTGTTGAACAGTGTGCAAAAAATAAGTTCCTTTGACATTAATGATAACGTTTGCAATGCTTGCTTTTTAATTTGCCCCTTAAAGAGAGGAAGAAAATGAAAATTGCATTGGAAATAAATTTCTCAAACTTGTCACTGTTGTACTGTTGTTACAGTGCCTTGCTGATATGGTTTTGCCTTGACAAAAAGTTTAGGCCATATTAATTAACGTAATAACTTACATTTTTGGAGCATACAGGCCAGTTCAAAATACAAGTTTAATTTTAAAAGATGGTTAAATACGTTTGAATCTGACATATGATGGCAGGATTAAAGGACTTTAGAAGTGTATATGATAAAATTGTGGATTAAATTCAGATTTTTCCCATATGGGTTTGCTTGTTATAGACAGCACTTAAAAATAAGTAAATAATGTCAGATTGGCACATAAACACTGTAATATGTGCATTTAATCATCATAATGAGAAGGGCCATGGAAGAAGTTTATAAGAACTTATTTTATAATTCTTCAGAATGCATCAGAAGTCAGCACTCAGTCTACAAGCCAGCAAAATGTCTTGCTACTTCTCAAGAAACTGTC